TCTAACTATAGACTCCCTAAGCATGTTCAAGAATAACAACCCTATAGGTTGTCCCATGTGGATTTTCCTATCTAAATCACCATTCAAAGAAACATGTTTAACAATCCATCTGACGCACAACTCTAGCAATCAGAACATACATGGACGTTATTCTACATATGGTGAATAGATAACAAGAAAATTTACAATTTTTCCTTTTCGCTTAAAGCCTTAGCTATTAGGCGATCCTTATACTCATAAACTAAACCGATAGGTTCACTTTTCTTTTCAGAATCCATTTATTACCCATGACTTCATTGCCAAGAGGTAATTCTCAAAAATGCCAAATCTTGTTCGATTCTATCGATATATTACCCAAGGCTTTTCAACCAAGAGGTAACTCTACAAGACTCTAAGTCTTATTAGACTCCAATAATTCCATTTCGTTAATAATGGATTCTCCCACAATTCTGCATTTTTATGGAAGTTCGAACTTCTAGCAGACTTGTAAGATCTTTCTTTCTTAGGGTGTAAATAACAAATTCATAACCAAAATCCTTTCGTGATTTATGGTTCATTTGTCTCTTCTGAGTTCATACTCAGATTCATCACCCCCACTAGTTATCCATTATTTCTAATAGTAGGCATGATATCACCCCCACTATTTCTTAATATAAATGGAATCTATTGACATCAATGATTTTCACAAACTAATGAGTATTTCGTTTCATAGGCTTATGTGTTTTACAATAACTTACACACTCATATGCTCTTCTAGTTATCATGTCACTGATTCTCTAACGCTACCACACGCATGCCACATATCGAATAATCAGTGCAATCATAATGCAACTAGGCATTTCAAACTATTTCGAATAACTAGTTATAGACAATCAGAGCACTCTAAAGAGCAATAAACCATTTATGGTCTTTTCCATCAAGTTTACCCATATAAACATAAATCAGATCTATTGATTCTGATTCTCTAACCACATATTTTATGGGTCATTTTGCTTGAATACAAAATTTTTATTTATCTCAAGCGTTCGAGAATAATATGGGAATGTGACTTTAGATATTCTAATTCTTTACAAGGACACACACGTCCCAAAAAAGAATCCATCTTAGAACGTCTATCACAGACATGCCTTGGGGCGCTAGTATCCAGCAACCATTCTCCAGAGTTACCATTAAGGCTAACCTCTGTCAATTGTCATCACCTAAGCGATTGTTATTACCAAATCCTCTTCTTTGATCAAGTTAACACAATACTATGTTAAACTTGCTCTAACACTTTCGTGTCATATGACCTAGTTTTTCTCAAATTTAATTGAGAAACATAGCATCATTCTTAGAGGATTGAGTGGCAATCTTATGGTTACCACGAAGGATACCATTCTACTTGGTGTGGATCTAGTTCGGCTTGATGCTCTCATTCTTGAAACTTTAATGTTTCAGAGCAACCCCAATGGTTCATCTAGTACTAACAAAAGTACTTCTTACAATATCGCACTATGGAAAATTAATCCATTCTATTCCCACATATTCTTCATATATATGCATGCATTCAAACAAAACCATTCTATTCGACAACATGTATTCTATCTATACTCTAATCATCGAGGTAATACATCTCAATGTCCACATATACATGCATCAATTCTATTATACTTCATTGCATTCGTATGATTTCTCAATGCCATTGCATAAAACTATATGACAAAGATTCTAATTTTGTCATTAATTAAAGGCTTATGAGGAGGATTTCAGTTCTTACCTCTTTTCAAGAGAAGTCATTACATTCTTTTCTCTCGTTGGTGCCCTTGCTGCACATCTACAAGAAACATCCTTTCCGCAGCTCCGGTTCAAAATTCCAATGACTACCTTTTTCTTGTTAGGGTCGTCGCAATGGAGAACTTTAACCTAACATCTCGATTCTCCGCGTATATCTGGCTATTTGCAAGCTTCCACTAAGAAAGTCGGGCCGCCAAGCTCGGTTGGGTACTACTCTGTAACGTGGCTCTTTTCCTTACGGACTTCATCATGTCCGTGGAAGACTTAAGACAATTAATAAGCTGCAACACTAAAGGAGCCAGATCAAAACCAAAACCACATAGGAGGAGAAATTAAATAATTAAAGGATTACAGCTCTCCAGGGCCAAAGGGCTATGTAGAGTGTTCCACTTCATGCGAAACTTGAACCAATCGTATTGGCTGTCATTATCCCGATCGATTCCGCTGTTCTAATTCTTCCATCCCTGATTCGATTAATTGCTCCATAACTAATCAGTTGCGTTCCAATCCATCTCCGCTAGACAACTTCCATCTTGATTTCCATGGAATATATATACCATGTCTGACGCCCTTCGCAATGATAAAAGGATAGGTTCTTAAAGCCGCCAATCCATCGAAGGACAAAAGCTAACTCTTCCCGGTAGACTCGGACGCTAATATTGCTTCCGATCAGCGGCACGGCGACGATAATGAGACAGACCAGTTCGGTATCCTGTTCGGTACATAACGACAGCAACCAAACGTCTTAAAATTGTTAGAAACCGAACAGAAAAATTAGGGTTACCGATCTGGCTGAGTCGCGGACTAGGTCGCTCTCTTTAAGACGTTCGCGGCACTGCCTTCGTTGCGCACGGCAGACTATCAGCCGGTCGCCTCCAGGATAAAACAGCCATTCTTATTTTGTTGCTCATCGGTTTTGTGCGAAAACCGGAGCTCTATGAACTCACTCTCTATCTCGTGTTTCTGCTCTCTGAGGTTGTGTTTAGAGGGTCTGGGGCGTCTCCTATTTATAGGAGCAGAAAACCCAGAGTATTCCCTCTTTCTTTGGGAATAAGTCATATTTTAATTAGGGAGATAATTACTCCCACAATTAAAATATAATCTATTAAGATAATTATTCCTAATTATCTCCATAATATTCCTTTTATTAATTATCCATCTATTTTCGTATCTAGAAAGAATACGGGATAATTAATTCAATATAGCTTTCAAAGCTATTCATTCCCAACAGGTATAGGTGTCAATCGGGCGGGTTCGGGCTGGGTTCAATCGGGTTCGGGTTCAAACGGGTTGCGGGTTAGTCGGGTTGCGGGTTCATCGGGTTCGGGTTCAAACGGGTTGCGGGTTAGTCGGGTTGCGGGTTCATCGGGTTCGGGTTCAATCGGGTTGCGGGCAAATCGGGTTGCGGGTTCATCGGGTTTTGGGTCGGGCGGGTTGCGGGCGGATCGAGTTTCGGGTTGTTCGGGCCAGCGCATCAAGTAACTTAACTCATTACTCATTACCAACTTACACATTTTATTACACTAATTTAAAATATTTTCTCAACTTTTTAACCAATTTATTTGTACCTCGTATATATACTTTATTTTTTGGAAAAAAACTAGTCAAAATTTTAAATCAATTTGTATGACTTGCAAACTTGTTATGTAATTAATCATAATTGGTAAATTATTATAGCTAATAGTAATGGTGATATCAATATTTGCATTCAAAAGACAACATTAATTGTTTATTTGATATTTTAGTATTAATTCAATAGTAATTGGATTAAAGTATCTCGTTTAGTATAACCATGCAAATCTGGTATTTGGTGTGTGGTATTTGGCAAAAGCATAGTGATAAAAGGAGTTATTTCGAAATAACTCATTGCTCAAATAACTTCAGTAAACTTGTGCCAAACGAGTTATTTGTAAAATTGTTCGAATTATCCTAAAAATTGAACCATTAAAGATTAGCTATCAAATTTAGTAAAATTATTGTTACTTCAATCATAACTTACTCAATAGCATATATCCTATACACTTAGCCTTACCCTCAATCAACAATATTAAGTTAGTATATGTTGTTGATTGTATACCCTAAACCATCAATACATTATACACTAACCACATAACCTATACCCTATACCCTAACCTTATGTCTTTGAGTTGTGATTTTGCTAGTATAGTTAATTTAAAAGTGAAATTCATACTTTGATTTTCAAAACATAGATAAAAAGTGATATTTGCTAATTGTTATACCCTAACCATATATCTTATACTTTACACCACATACCTTGTATCCTAACCACGTACCATAAACATAAATTAAAAAGGGATCTCCTGCCGTTAAAGACTTCAAATGACTTCAATTGAACATATGTTAATAAAAAACTTAGAACCGTCAAAACCATCAATATCATATACCCTAACCATATGTACCTTATACCCTATACCCTAACCATATACTTTATATCCTAAACAACGAACCGTCAAAGATTACTTATCAAGTTTAGTATAAATTGTTGTAACTAATGGTTAATTTATTTATTAGCCCATAAACAATTACATACATATATATATATTAGCCTTCAAAGTATATAAGAATAATTTTAACTAGTCATGCCCTCCGTATAAAAGTTAAAGATTCATATTTCAAAAGCTAAAATTATGAAAACACCAAAAAATTGAAAATACCAAATTTGTTTCCTTCTTTCTTTTCACAAAAATACTAAAATTTCCCTCCTTCTTTCTACTTCCATACATTAGAAAACTCAATTTTCCCTCATCTTTCTCTTCCATAAAATTGAAAGAACAAAATTACCCTCTTCTTTCCTTCTACAAAAAGTTGAAAACTCAAAAGTTTTCCTCCTTATTTCTCTTTCATAATCAAAAGAATCAAATTTTCCCACTTCTTTCTCTTCCCACATATCAAAACCACCAAAATTCCCACTTGTTTCTTTTCTAAAAAATTCAAAGAACCAAATTTCCCTCTTCTTTCTCTTCCCAAAAACTTGAATACACCAAAATTTCCCTCTTCATTTAAAAACATCAAATTACCAAATACATTACTTTACTTTATTTATATTTAATTGATAATTTTATTGAATAGTTAAATTAACCAAAATTTTAATTTATATATTATATTAATATTGTCATTGTTGGCACCCATTTTTGTCCGGATTTTTCTAAACTAAATAATTTCGTTTGAAATGAATTTTTCAACGAATAATTCAAATTTCAATACAAAAATTAAAATACATCAAGTTCTCATATGCATTCGACTTTAATTCGAGTTTGATCCGTGTTTATTACATATTTGGGCTCGAGGCACAGTCTAACCAAATTAAGGCTTGTTACCCTTTTCTTATCATACACAAAAAGTATGGCCCAACCCAGTACACAATAATCAGCACTTTGAACCCGGTCGGAACTGGTCCAAAACCGAACCAGTTTGACCCGACCCCATCTGCTTCTCCTCTACTCCTCCATCATTGCCTCAAAGCCTGCAAAAACATAAAAATACTAAGTTCCATGCTTTCATGAGTTGTAAAAGACAAAGAAGTAAATGGAATGGAAGAGAAATTGAATCTGGTTACAAAGAAATTGAAGGAAGAGATGTTGAGTTAGGTCGTCATTGAAGGAGGTGGGTGTGTGAGATAGTGTTTCTCGTTTCTATAAAAGGGGCAGCAAGGTTAGAAGAGAAAAGGGGGCGGCCACTTTTGTTCAATCTTGAATCGATAATTCCATTCCCAGAAATCCCTCCACAGATTATCACTCCCAAACCACAACACCATCCTTGCCATTTCTTTCGGCTAAACACAGAACACAAACAATAAATCCAGAAAACCATTCTTGGCTAGCAACCATTCATTCATAAAGAATCTTCAGCACTCCCTCGTCGCTTACCCTGACCTTCCCCCGAGCTTGGCCGCCGTTGACTCCGGCTCCCGCCACCACCAGGCCGCCGCTGAGCCTTTCCCGTCGTCGATCCGCGCCAGACCGCCATCACCACCAGTCAACCTCTTCGCCGCATCACGAAACACCACCGCCGCTCTCGTACCGCACCGCTAGGAGATCGCCACGTCTTCATCATCGTCGCCGCCTTTGCCATCACCAAACCATTGTGCCGCTGCTGTTGATCTGTGCCGCTGTAGTCAGCTGCTGCTGTGGTCGCCTCGGAAGAAGGAGAGTGAGAGGGTAGCGGCGCTCGGATAAAAGAAAGAAGAGGAAGAAGGGCTGCATTTCATCTCGGAAGAGAGGTAGGGATTTTCACCACTTTTGCTTAAATTCTAAATTACCACACTAGCCTCGCAATTTTAGGTAATTTACAGAAAATACCACAATAAAACTACAGATTTAGTCCCCCAATTCTCTACGTCACCGAAAAAACTAAAAACTTGCAATAATTTAATTAGTACCCGTTTCTCATAGTCAAACCAAAATTTCAGGCTCAGTAGTACGAGTGATTAATTGCTACTTATCTTATTGGCTATTTACTACTATACTTGATTAATTGTGTTATACGGTTCAATTAGTTCAATCAACACATAATTATTTAAATTTTGAATTAGGAACGGATGCGTTCCTTAAATTATTTAACCGTATGATTTTTCAATTCAATTCATCAAAATTGTTTTCAATCGAACTACGCGGACTTTGATCCCGAGATGTCGGGTACGTAGGCGATCGAAAGATTCAAGTCCACACAACTCCTAAAATATTATTTTTATCAAATTATACGATCAAGTCGTTACCGATGGGTACACGATCAAATTGTCACCGAACCTATTTTAAACCAATTACGATTGATGGATCGTGTTCAAATTAATAAACTATTACGTACCGATGGGTACGTGATTAACAATCATTTAATCTATCTCGAACAAATTACGATCGATGGATCGTCATTAAACTAAGCAATTATTAGGTACCGATGGGTATGTGATCAGTAATCGTTTAATATATCTCAAACAAATTACGATCGATGGATCGTCATCAAATTTAATAATAATTACGCACCGATGGTCGTAAGCAAACGTTTTTCAAAATAATTAATACCGGTGAACTACGAGGGCTTTGATCCCGAGATGTCGGGTACGTAGGCGGCCTACGGGTCCAAGTCCACTAATAAGTAAAACCCCTTTTTCCAAATAAAATTATCAAAAATATTAATCCTTTCTTCCAATGAAATTACATGTTGATGAACATGTAGTATATGTCAAAAATGACATCACATGTTTGATGTAAATCCAAATAATTTCAAACAAGCAAATATCAATTAAGAAGACAAATCAAACTTATAGTACCGACTTAGGGCGATGTAAGGGTGCTAATACCTTCCTTACTCGTAACCGACCCCCGAACCCATAAATCAATTTCGCGGACCGAGCCGAGCCTAAATCCTAACCGATTTAAGCTTGACTTTCCAAGTGTCCAATCCACTTTGAGAGATTGGTGGCGACTCCTCTTTTTCGCGCCGCGTCGCGGACGGACCGTTTGCGACAGTCATGATCTCAAGTGACCTTCATGTTTCAATTTTTGTAATTTTCTTAAAATACGTAATATCAAGTGAGTTTCATATTTTTTAAATTTCCTATACGAAATGAAAAAATAATTTTACTTAAGTTTAGAATGAAAAACTTTATTTTGAAAAAATATGTATTGTATATTTTTATAATTATTCAAGTGGATTAGATGAAATTCGGGTTGAGTCGGTCGGGTTACGGGTTAGTCAGGTTCAGGTCAATCGGGTTCGGGTTAATTGGGTTGCGGGGTCAGTCGGGTTCGGGTTAGTTGGGTTGCGGGTCAATCGGGTTGCGGGTCGGGCGGGTTACGGGTTGTTGACTTTTAGTCAATTCGGGTTGCGGTCGGATTGCGGGTCGGGTTGATCGGGCGGGTTAATCGGGTCGGGCTATGTTTTGACACCTATAACCGTGGGTGGCGGTCGGTCGTGGGTGTCACTTTTTGGTGTACCGAAAGAAGGGTGACTCGACTTTTATGAGTTGGAGTTTGTTAACGGTTCGTTACGTATCCCGAAATTGGTGATTGACGAAGGATCTCAGAGGTGGGCAAATAGTCTTGTAAGGCAATTTCTAGGTAAGATGCCAGAGCTAGATCTGATTCGTTCATAGGCAAACTGGATATGGGGTCGCAAGGGGGAGATTCGTGTCTCGGGGTTCGGAGAGCATCTGGTTATTTTCAAATTCCCGTCGAAGAAAGTCTGTGACTGGGTATTCGAAGGAGGTCCTTGGCACTGCAAAGAGATCTTGTTGTGTTTGAGGCGTTGGGAGCCAGGTATCCAACCACTGAAGATCGACAATTCGGCAATTTCACTCTGGATCAGGCTCTCGGGCATACCTACAGAATTAAGCTCGCGCGAGGGATTGGGTAGGATGACGAGTGCATTGGGCAAGCCTCTCTGTACTGATTTACCTACAAGGAAGGGGATAAGGTAGGTACTGCCTTAGTGTGTGTTGAGATTCCTGCAACGTCGTCTTCGATTGATAGTATTAGCTTCACCCCTGATGGGTCTGAGGAAATGTTTGTTACAGTTGAATATTGTCGTGTCCCTATGATTTGTAAGGCTTGTCAAAAATTTGGTCATGATTGTTCTAGACCTGTGAAGGGGAAAACCAAGTAGGTATGGAGAATTAAACATAAGAGGACAGCTGAATTGGAGGAAGTGATTGGTGTTGATAAAGGGAAGGGTAAGGAGCTAGCTGAGGTAGTTGGGCTTGATGGGGTGGACGCTCCAGGAAGCAGTAGTGGGATTTTGTTGATTCAAATGTTGGTAACGCCAAGTTCACTGCCATCGATTGATGAGTTCAATACAGTGGTAAATGGATCAAAGGCCAAAATGATTAGCAGGGAGCCACCTGTGGTTGAGATTAAGAATTCCTTTGCAGAAATTTGTGCGAAGCCACCTATTCTGTCGCAAGTGCCAAAACCAGGTAAAGAAGGACTGAGAAATAAGAGGGGAGCTACTTTGGCGGCTCGTCCTATGAAATGAGTATGCTTGTCTGGAATGGGAGGGGCTTCAATGGCTCCCCCAAGCATGATGTCTTACTAGAATATCTCAGCAGGCATAAGATTAGTTTGTTTTCGCTGTTGGAGACTAGAGTACAGCAGCAGAATAGCCAGGCTATCCAGGATAAGTTTGTGGGTTACAAGTTTTTTGATAAATACAACAAAAACTCTTTGGGGAGAATCTGGGTGGCTTGGTAGGAAGAAGTGCAGGTTGGTGTTTTGGAAGAGGATGCTTTCTTTATTCATATGATTGTCTCTCTGAGTAATAGATATGGTTTCTTTCTTACTATAGTCTATGGATCTAATGATGAGAAAGAAAGGTTTGAGACATATAGGAAGCTTAGTAGGAAGGCAGTCCATGGATTTCCATGGATAGTTTGTGGAGATTTTAATGCAATTCTTCATCCTAATGAGGCAGTTTCTTCTGTTACGGTTACTTAATGTATGTCCGCTTTTAGAGACTGGATTGCAAACGTGGAGCTGATTGATCATAGGGCTACTGGCCCACTTCTTACTTGGTCAAATCAGTAGGAAAATAGACCTATATCTTGAAAGCTGGATAGAGTTTTGATAAATGAGGACTGGATCAGTCATTTTACTCATAGTACAATGGAGCTTTTGGCACCGGATTTTTCTGATCATTGTGGGATGCTGATTAGATTAGTTGTCCCTGGAAAGTCAATTCCTAAACCCTTTCGTTTTTACGATATGTGGTTGGGGCATGAGAATTACAATCATATTCTTAGCATAACTTGACATTCTCCAGATGATAGGTGGATCTTGGCAGGTATTTAGCGGAAGCTCAGATTGTTGAAACTGGAACTTAAGAAGTTTAATCTGGAAGAGTTTGCTGATATCACATGTAGAGTAAAAGAAGTTGCAGTTACAATGATGATGCTCAGATTAATGCGTTGCCAAACCCTGGTGCTGATACTTTTGCTGCAGAATTTGCTGCCACTAAGGAATGGATTTTCTATAAGCAAGCAGAGAAGCAATTTTTTAGACAGCGATCAAGAATTAGTTGGCTATCTTTGGGAGATGACAATACTGGTTTCTTCCACAAGTCAGTAAAGCTTAGGGTAACAAGGAAGCAAATCAGGAAGCTGCAGTTGAACTCAGGGGAGGAAATAACTGATTTGGAGCAAATTGCTTCAGAAGCTATTAGTTTTTATCAAAATATATTTGGTACGATTAATGCTTTTGTAGTGGTTGATGTAGAGTTCAGTAACATACACATTCAAAAGAGGTTAAGTATTTCAGAGGGAGAGTTCTTATCTAAACATATTCTTGATGAAGAAGTTAAACAAGTTGTTTTCTCGATGGACCCTACAAAAAGTCCGGGGCCAGATGGTTGGACAGTCAGTTTTTTTCCAGAAAAGTTGGGGAGTAATTGGACGATCCGTGATCGCTGGCGTTAAGGAATTTTTTTATATCAATAAATTCCCTAAAGGTATGAATACTGCTTCTCTCACTCTCTACCCTAAGTTTCCAAATACAGTCTCATTGAACAGTTACAGGCCGATTGCATGTATAAACGTATTATACAAGATTATTGCAAAGGTAATAGCAAATAGGCTTCAAGAAGTTCTCCCTAGTGTAATTAGTTGTAATCAGTCAACTTTTGTGAAGGGTAGAAATATACTTGACAACATTCTTATGACACAAGAATTGATTCAGAATTACAATAGGAAAAAGATAGCTTCAAGAAGTGCAGTCAAAGTGAATTTAAGGAAGGCTTTTGATTCTGTCCATTAGGATTCCCCGTTCTGTGTTATGAGAGCTATGAGTTTCCCTGACAAGTTTATTAGTTGGATTTATACGTGTGTCAATTGCTACATTCAGTATTTTAATGCATGGGAGTCTGTTTGGGAATTTGAAGCAAAGCAGGGGGTAAGTTAGGGTGACCCATTGCCACCTTATCTTTTTACAATAATAATGGAACTCTTAACTTCTATGCTTGTCAGAATGTGAGGGATAGACAGTTGCCCTATCATCCTCAGTGTAAGGGGTTAGGATTAACATATCTTTGTTTTGCTGATGATCTCCTTATCTTTACTGAGGTATTTGTTTTTGCATTAGAATGTTTTAAAAGAGTGCTTGATCAGTTTGCAAAGCTCTCAGGGTTGATTTGTAATTCTCAAAAAACAGAACTTTTTTTAGGGAGAATCTGGGAGGAATATTCAGATT